ATATGACCACGAAGTGATAACGCTTATCTGCTCCACTATGTCATCGTACTTCAGCGTGACATGCGTGAAGGACGCATGACATGTGTACTGCTTAGAGCTGAGTATGATGAGGACTAAGTTGCACGTGTGTTTTCGTATATGTATTGCACTCCTGCCGTGAACCGGCGCAAAGAACGTACTTTCCCTGAGTTCTGCTAAGAAGAGGATGGAACTGCAAAAGACAATGGCTATCCATCTTGTTGCCGTCTAAACCATAAGCTCACTGAACGACCTGTGGCAGCACATCCGTGACCACTTGACTGCTGTGACCGAAGAAACGATCGGACGCGCAAACTGTAAGCGACCTGATTGGTTGGATGACAGCAGTGCGGCCATTGGCGCATTGGTGTCTGAGAAGAATGCAGCGTTTGCTGCACATGTAGATGACCCTGCTGACTGCGAGAAGGCGAGTCGTTCACGGGAACTTCGATGGCAATCGAATCGAAACCTCTGTCTCATCAAGGACGCATGATGGACGGCGAGTGGGAAGCAGATTTCATGTTACGCCGAACACCGCGAAAATAAGGTCTTCTTTGACTTCTTGAAGGCAGTATATACACATACGCTTCGGCCACGGAGGACTTTGCTCTACGTGACTTCAGCCACAGTCTGTGAACATAATGCGGATCTGGCGAAAGCACTTCGACTGTCTCTTAAACAACCGTTCAGAGATTGACTGGGCTATGTTGCACGGGTGCGACAACAAGATGTGAATATGTGCCTTGCCGACACACCGAAAGTGTCGGTGTGTGGAACCGCAGCTGCGCTGGTTCCGACGGGATCCCGTCAGAAGTGCTGAATCACGGTGGATCTGCATCGATGCATGCGTTGCACCACTTGGTGAAACACGAGTAGTTTGGAGTGGAAGTGCTAGTCGAGATGAAGGATGTCCTTATGCTATTATACAGAGCAAAATGGAGAAAGTATTGTGCCACAACTTGTCGCACTCTTAGCTTGCTGAGTTGTGTGGGTTCGGTGATCGCCCGAATCCTGTTCATCTGCGTCGTCAGTTAGGTCGTGGCGGAAGATCAATGTGGATTCCGTTCGGGTCGCAGCACCATCAACATGGTGTTTGCGGCTCGTCATCTGGGACAGAAGTGTAGAGAGCGACACCAGCCAATATACTGTTTTTGTTGCTTTCACCACGGTATTTGATACGGTGAACCGCGAGGCACACTGGCTGGGGTTGGGTAAGTTTGGTTGTCCGAGTAATGTTATGTTTAACGTCTGCACAGTGGTATGCGGTGGAGGGTGCAGTTGAGTGAACAAACCTCGGTTGACTAGTTGTCTGGTGTGAAGTATGGCTGTGTCTTATCCCCTATCCTGTTTCACAATTACATCTACGTGACGCTTTCTTGCACTTTTGATGCCGCTTGTGATTACGGTGTCCGTGTGGAGCACCGTAAAGATGTTGCTTTACTGAGTATCCATCGTTTCAATGCGAGAACCCTAGTTTGTAAGACAACCATCCGTGCGTTGCTGTTTACGGACGACTGTGTGTTGTTTGCGTATAGCGCGGATTAGTTGCAGCGCATGACTACGGCCCTCGCTTCGATAGCGACAAACTGCGGGCTCACCATCAACACAAGGAAAACTGTTCATCCATTTCAGCCTTCTTCCGAAGCGGAATCATTTTTCCTGCCTGAAATCCACATTGCCGCTGATGTTTGGGAAACCATCTCGAGATTCTGCTGCTAACTTTAGAGCCTACTTTAGAACCTCCAATTGACGATCGAACTGTGCGCATCCACGTGTCGAAGGCAGCTGTCGCGTTTGGCAAACTTGTAAAATGGGTGTGGAACAATCATCAGGTTGCTACTGGAACGAAGCTGATGGCATGCAACTGCATGGTGCTGTCCGTTCTTCTATACGGCAGTGAAACCTGGACGATGTACCGGAAAGATGTCAGATATCTTGAGTGGTTTCAACAACAGTGTCTGCGACAAATTCTGCGCATCGGTTGGTACGACAGTATTGCTGCGTCGCAGTGTTATGTATGCAGTAGGCTGCATACTTCATTTGCGGCACCTGAGGTGGATGGGGCACATCAGCCTCATGGATCCGACGCGGATATCCAAGCGACTGCTATATGGACAACTTAGTGCAGGGAAGCGACACTTGGGAAAACCGGTTACGTTACCAGAACATGATCAAGGTGAGTTTATCGCGAACTAATGTTGATTGCCGATGTTGGGAAGCAATCGCCTTTGATCGGAGCCAGTGGCGTGAGCTAATCATATGAGCGGTTGTTCAGATACAGTAGAAGACGTATTAGTGTACTAGCGGAGGAGAAACACCTGCTGCGGAGCCGACGGGCACCATCCAGTGTGGAGCGGACTACGATACAGCCGCCGTCTTGTGTTGTCTGGTAGCCATGATTCCCCACTACATAGACAGGAATGCTGCTGCTGTGCATGTTGGTAGTGTGGGCCGGCTCCGTTGATGAAACATGGCTCCCATGCATATACCTCTCGGTCTTATTCTTACGGGTTTACACTAAATAGGGGTGTGTGGATGGAGTTGTGGGTGGTGCAGTGCAAGCCACTCATGGTCCATCTGTGGGCACAGCCGTCCTGCGGCTGTCCCCATGGAGACTGTAGTGACAAGCAAATCCGGAACCGGATGCCGCCAACCATCTTTGTACTAGTAGATGTGCTGCTGTTTTTGTGACGGTTTTCTATCTTACCGTCAGAGTGCGAAAAGGGTAAATAAATAATACGGGTAAGGGGTAGCAAGTAACCTTGTGTTACTAAAACTATGTGCGACAAAGGTGGGCAGCCTGTCCACAATTGACCGGAAGTATCAAGTACGATTCCGGTCAGTGACCACCTTATTCTGTTGCCTGCATTGTGGATCGTCTCTCTCGCATAGAAGTCGAATGTGAGATCGGACTGCTAATGTTGAGTGATGCCATAGAACGAGATAGTCTTTATGCAACCCTTTAAAATTTGGAGGGTTGATTTGAAACTTCTGGAAGACGAAAATTGACCAACCGACAGAAGCTGCTCCGTTGTAGTCCTGATTTACGTGATAGGTTCCCATTCTCTATACGGAAGTCATATAGTAATCACTTTGATCCTTATTGCTTTCATGCTACTCTCCTCCGTCATCTTTGCAGTTTGATCGGCACCCGTGAAAGCCAGCTACGTTAAAAGCAAATGGGTTTCTGTCTAATTCGAGGCTGCATTGACCAAATCTTAATTTTGACCCAGCCGTTAGAGACCCACTACATATGTTGGTGACCTACTGTAGTCTTGTTCCTCGATATCAAATATGCCTTCGTTTTTGGCGGATCGATGTGCCATTTGATAGGGCTTGATCAATAAAGGTGTAACGGAGAACTACGTTCATTAGGCTCATCGTTTAGGCTGAGTGAGAGCTTATCGCAAACTGTGACCGCCTTTCAATATTTCAATAAGTGTGGTGCAAGAATGCACGCTCTCTCCTTTCCTTTTTAATTTCGTCCTCGATGAGGTCATGGTTTGAAAAATGTGGAGCTGCTGATTAGGTGATTGAGTTCTTGACTTAGAGTATGCCGACGATATGATCGTCATCTGTGACAGTTCACAAACCTGCGAAACAGCACTGGGCAGATTAGTGCTGGTCACCACCCGTTCCAGGCTTTACGTTGCATCTTCCAAGCGCGAAGCGCTCCTCCAAGCTTGGTAGAGACTGCCTCTAGCACTCATACTTTATGAAGATACTCTATAAGTGTTGAATTTCAACTACCTGAGTAGTTGTACCAGCGACTGTGGAACAGAGGATGAAGTGATAAACTGGATAGCAAAACCTCCAGACACTTTTGATAACCTTCATAATCTATGGTGCCACTGCGACATCAATCTCGCCCGGAAGAGTAGCGTTTGCAAGACAGCCATCTGGTCTGTACGGTCGCGAAGCCTGATCTATCAGAGCGACAGAAATATGGTTGTTAGTTACGTTCGACCACCAGTGACTTCGTACTTTGGCCCATATCTGGTGGGAACACCGCGTGAGCACTGAATGTGTTCGGTGCCTTATTTATAGCGAATGAAGTGGAAGCGAATCGCTCAGTACCATTTTCACTCTTCCGTTTTCCGACGTCTGGGTCATGCATACTAGCACACCGACTCCTGCGACGTGCATTGGTTACGCAAGCGATGTGTGGAGATGGAAAAATAGTAGGGAGGCCAACCGATGACTGGATCAAAGGGATGTTGGCCTCGGTTGGAAGCTCTCAGCTTCCTAGTGGGGGGTCCGAAGGACAATGGACACGTTTGGTTGGATACACTTTTCGATTTGGTGTGGAATCGATCTCAATGGCGTTGTGTTGTGAATTGCTTTAGGGTGCCTCCTCCCACTTAACCCCACCCTCCTCCGACAATAATATCATTGTTGGTACATAACAATAAAATGGTATCACTCGTTTCTATCCGACACATTTCATTGTTCTGTTTTTTCCCTTTTCGAATACTTTACTGTCATGTATTACACTGCATCATACGCTTAAAGGATGCTACCAGTGAGTGGTTTATTAATTTTAACCATACTGTCCACCCGCGATTAAAAAATTATACACTATTGGAATTATGCATTTTATTGTTCTGCCTTACAACGCACATTTTCCCCTTTACTAGACCCGGTACCGATTGCTACAAAGCTCTCATACAGCATTTTGGTTTTGACGCCATAGCATCTCCGGATCCACCGCATTACATTGATCGGTCTCGCCTAGGAACTATCGTCTTTTCTGATGCTCGCCGCCTCGCTGAGCTAAACTCTATCGTTTGGCCAGAAATTCTTCGTCAAATCGAAGATTTTCTCCTGAAGATTGACCATCCACGTCTGTCAGATCGGAACCACTTTTCTCGGCCAATCGTTATCTTGGATGCTGCCGTCTTACTTCAGGCTGGCTGGGATAAACTATGCGAAGAGGTTGGTCGTTCGCACTTTTTGTTTACGAACCCACACATACCGAGCCCTTGATCCCTATATGATCGAAGCGTTGAACTTTCTATTATTAGGGACAACAAACTGTCAAAATAAGTTTAAAATTTACATCCGAAGTCGTCTGTGGTGAAAACAATGGAAACTGGAAAAAACTCCATTTTTACCTGCATGCGGGGTGGATTTCCGGGCACTTGTGACGTGGACTCCTTTTCTTGCGTAGGTGACTTTCATTAATATCTTTTATCTCGTCTTTTTCACGAGCCACTCTATGGCCCACATTTTCGGGTGTACTCAACAATATTTCGATCTGATGACCTCGGTTTCAACTGGTGGGATCATTTTGTATAGTGTCTGGTCACCTTCTCCCCGATGCCCATCAGTCGATGAATATGATTTCTTTCGTTCAGACGAGTGATTTGCGCTTTATTGAGCCTACCTCTGTTTTATTGGGATCTGGCTCAATTTATGGGACTAATCCGCATTGTTGTATACATCCACGTCATGACGCCTCAATCGGCTAAATTATGCAACCGACAGCGTCCAGTGAGAAACGACCGGAACTTTTATAAAGTCTCTAAACAGTGGACGACCATGATGCGCGGATAAGTTGCCATATGTCACTTTCTTACTGGAACCATGCTCTTCTTTTTTCGTTCCTATTTATCCATAGAAAATTCATATATAGGCTAGGCGAAGTGTGTATTTAAGCCCAATACTCCGTATGTCGGCATAGTACGTTTGCCTGATTTCGCGTACTTCCTTTTATCAGGTCTGGGTCGCAATCATTCCAAAACAAGAGGCACTTCGACGAATTTGTGAACGAAACGGTTTGTCGTTGTCCACAGCCAACGAGCGTCTTTCAAGACAAGCTAGCGCTGTTGCCTCATCCACCGGCGGTCTGGACTGGTGGAGCGTGGGACAACTGGACACGGGCTTGGGGCCCCTGGGACGTGCGCACGTCGTCTTGAGCACTCAGTGGGACCCAGAGTGCTCCCAGCAGCAAGTACAGAAGGCGTTCACCGGATTAAAAAAGCGGATGACTCTGGAATCCTGATCAAACGTTTCTCATGACTCCGACCTCATCCACCCCTATTTTTCTCAGGTCTTTGGTCTCATACACTTAGGACAGCGCAAGTGATTTTATTCACGTATGAGCGGCCACTTTTCTTTTCTACAAAATGCTCACATCATTCCTTCGTCAGTTGTGCGCTGTAGTCAGGGGCCATGTATTCTTAGGAATTCACTCAGACAATTGCTTACCTTGACTATGTGATTCAAACGGCCATTGAAAAATGCTATACCTTGCTTCCTAATCACACGATCCTGGTTTTCATAATCTACGCGAACTATAATGGTGTTCACTGATTCACCTGCGAATGTTCTACTTACAAATTATCGTCTCGTAACATGCTTGCTAGCGCGATGTGCATGCAGTGGCTACTCCGGCAGATTTCTCATCAACTTTTCATCTGACTCGTATCCATTCACTCTCTTCGGACGTCTTTGAATGGTGTCGGTAATAACGTCGCCGCCGTCCGGTAATAGATTAAATAAATAAATGTTTTATTCCAGACAGTGCGGGACATGCCTAAAAAGCGATCATCATAGTAATATAGAGCGTATAATCAGTTATTGGTAGTGTTACTATGTAACCAGTATATACTGAAGTTATGTTGTAGGTATATATGTAAGTGCCCTATGGTGCGATGAGGCTGGTGGTGGCTAGATCCTGACAGATGGTCTACCCACTGCTGCTACTGTTGTGCCATGGGCTCATATCCTGGACGCCTCTTCGTGACGACCGCTGGGTGGGAGTTGGTTTATGCCCTTCTCCCTGCTAAGATCCATGACACCAATCCACATGAGTCAGTGAACTGACTATGTGCTAGAACCGCTGCCTTTCGGCTGCACATTTAATCAAAGGCTTTGGCTGAGTACCCGAGTGGTTATCATGTCAGGTGTGGGCGTCCTGCCAGTATCCTAGTCCATCCTCTTCGGAGGTTAGGAAATGGTCGATGGCCCTCTTCTTGTAAAACCTAACCATGGGAGACAACAAGTCTCGGGTTATAAGCTCACAGTTCGATTGGTGTAGAGCACGAGCGCCACGCATTGTCTCTGACAGTGGAATGGCACCTCCGGGTTTCCAATGGTTTGCTACTGCCCGCCTCAAGCCAGGCCGCCCCTGGTCAAGTTGGTGCAAACCCGCCAAAATACACCTGCGTTTGGCTGTGTTCGCAGGTGCGTATCCTACTACGGTCGCAAAACATATATGAATCGTTCCAGTACCTCAAAGACTGCGTGTGACGGTCATCAATCAGATCCCAATCTGTCTCTGCAATCACATTCCCGAGCTGGATCTGCTCCCCACTGCCTTGTGGGTCAGGTTATTGAGCCAAAGGCTCCGAGTAGAGTCCCTCGAGCAAACCCCCGAAACACAACCGCCACCTCGCGTGCGATTGCCCACCAATGTAATCGCATGCCTGCGCGCAAAGCACTCAGCATCGGGCGCTGGAACGTGCGCGCACTACTGGACCGGAACTCCAGCGAGCGCCCCGAGCGACGCGCTGCACCGGTGGTGATGGAACTGGCGCACTACATCGATATTGCGGCGCTTAGTGAGACTCGGCTCGCTGAACAAGGTAAGTTGCATGAAGCAGGTGCTGGCTACACATTATACTGGGTGGGCAACGCCGCCTCAGCACCACGTAAACATGGGGATGGATTTGCAATATCCGATCGCCTAAATGGTCAGCTGATGGTTGAGCCGACAGGCATCATCGCGTGACTGATGACTGTGCCCTCAACCGCCTCGTCATTCAGGTTCTGGAACCTAACGTGGCGGAAGAGCAGTGTTGATACCGTTCGGGTCGCAGCACTAGATATTTTGTTTGCGCCTTGACAGTTGCAAGAGAAGTGTAGAGAACGACACCAGCCGTTGTACTCACTGTTTGTTGGTTTCAGCAAGACAGCGGTGTCATTCGGTAAGCTAGGGTATCGAGTATGGAACAACCATCAGCTTACTGTTGGCACGAAGCTGATGCTGTACAAATTCATGGTGCTGTCCGTCCTATACAGCAGCGAAACGTGGCGATGTACCGGCTGGATGTGACATATCTCGGGCGGTTCCATCAACAGTGTCTGTGGTGGATCCTGCGCAATGATTGGCGCGACAGAGTTGCGGACACGGAAGTGTTGCGCCGAAGTGGAATGTATGCAGTGGACTGCATACTTTTGCTGCGAAACCTGAGGTGGCTCGGTCATGTGAGCAGTATGGGTTCGATGTGGATACCGAAACAGCTATTGTATGGTCAGCTGAGTATTGGGAAGCGGCATGTGGGGAAACCGAAGCTTCGTTACCAGAACATGATCAAAGTGAACCCTTCACGTTCCAATGTTGATTGCAGGTCATGGGAATCGAAGGCGGTTGCTCGGCGTGCATGGCGCGATCTGATCACGAAGGCAGTTGCCGAGGTGCAGGAGAGACTTCATATATGCAGAGAAGCGGCAAGTGCGGAATCGGCAATCACCGATGGGTTGTACTCTATAGATATGGTGCTGTAGCACATGCGGTCGCGAGTGCCTGAGTCAGGCAGGCCACTAGGAGCCACCACCGAAGCGACAACGGGTCCTGCGGAGAACGTAAGCACAAGCGACGCAGCGTTGGTTGGTACGCTGCATTCGGTTTACTAACCGCGTGCTTGCATACTGAGTCTCTTTATTTCTGGTGATGGGTTTGCTATATTGTCCTAGTCCTTTTTTAATGTCTACCCGAACTGTCTTCCATAAATTTGTACACGTCGCTTAAGCTAATTGTAGTTAACTTTGATATCATTTTAGCGTTTGTAACATTTTCTTGAACTATATTTTCTGACGTCTTGAATTTATCGAGGATTTGTTCGTAGCTAATTTATTATACGCTCATTTAGTGTTTATGTCACCGTATCTGTATGCATTATTCAATTTATTTTATTTGATATTGTCGTTTTAAGTGATTGGCTGTTGCTTGATATCCCGATGTGGCCGCGCATGATGTGCATGTTTACAAGGTGCCTATCTGTCTATTACCAACTACCTCGTCCATACTGGCTCCAGGAGACAGTTGGTCTTTGCCGGAGGGGACGGGGTGTATTGTCTTTGTGGCCGTGCTAGGCTCAAAGAGCGGTTCCATGTACTCAGTGTGGAGCGGACTACGGTCCAGCCACCGCCTTGTGTGCGCTTGCTTCCCAAATACAGCGTGCTCATGTTTGCCTGTGAAGGAGTGTAGGTCGGCTCCGTTGATGAAACATGGCTCCCTTCCACATGCCTCCCGGTCTTATTCCTTCGGGTTTACACTGGATATGGGGTGTGGTTGGAGCTGTGGGTGGTGCAGCGCAAGCCATCCATGGTCCCTCTGTAGGTGCAGGCGTCCTGTGGCTGGCCACAGTGACAGGCAAATCTAGAAACGGATGCCGCTAATCATGTAAGTGCCTAAAACTGAGGCTGATGTTGCATTCATGATGCTTCTGCACCGCAGTTGGGCTAAACCAACTTATTCTTAAACTAGGTCCTTTTAAGCTGGACAAATTTTATTCCACTTGTTTTGGTTTGTTCTGCCCACATAAATAATCTTCCATTAACTGGCTACTTTCCTTACGCTTATTTTTGTTATCTTCGCCAACTTTATTGTCTTTGCAGCATTTTTGATTAACCTCTTGACATTTTGTACTTATCGCGGACTTGTTGGTAACCAACTTGCTTCATATACTCATTTAGCGAAGAGTTATGTGGGCATAGCCGTATGCTTTAACACATGTATTATTTGATAATGTCATTTCCAGTGATTGGCTGTTGTTTGATATCCCCGGTGTCGCTGCGCTTGATGTGCATGTTGATAAGATGCCTACATATCTATTACCCGCTGTCTCGTACATACTGGCTCCAGGAGACAGTTGGCCGTTGCTGGAGGGGACGGGGTGCGCGGCGCTTAGGGTCGTGCTAGGCTCGAAGAGTAGTTCCATGCACTCAGTGTGGAGCGGACTACGGTCCAGCCACCGCATTGTGTGTACTTGATTATCCAAATACAACGTGCTTGTGTTTGCTTGTGAAGGAGTGTGGGCCGGCTCCGTTGATGAAATGGCTCCCATCCACATGCCTCCTAGTTTTATTCCTTCGGATTTACACTGGATATGAGATGTGTGATTAGGGCTATGGGTGGTGCAGCGCAAGCCACCTATGGTCCCTTTGTAGGCGCAGGCGTGGCTGGCCACATTGACAGGCAAATCTGGTAACGGTAACGGCTAACCACAAGTGCCTCGGTGGGTAGTCAGGTTGAATGAATTTGTTGCTGTTGTACTGAAGTTGTGGTTGTGTTTGGTGAATTCGCCAACACAGGAAGGGGTCAAATAATATCTTCTATATGGCTGACATTTTTGAATGGGATGAGACCCTCCGGAAAGGCGGAAGACAGTGATTTTATTTGGTGGCGAGTCATATCCGCCACGTCACAGTGTTGTTAGACAGCCATTTGTGGCTTTTTATGGGGAGAACGCTTGCCAAGCGAAAACCAACCACTGCTAGAACCCTGCCGCCGAAACCTCCGCTAGAACAGGATTAAATCGGACCACCCAGCTGGCACCACGTGGAAGTTGTTCGGCTAGCCCCCTGTTCTATTTTGGATTTCATTAACCAATTTGGCCTAGTACGGCGACGCGACTCACCAAGCTTCGCTCGTAGGTAAGCGTGGTCGACGCGTTAATTGCTCTCGCGAGTTGTGCCCTGCGCTTAGTGTAGACTGACGAACGGGTTGCAACACTTCTGTAAACTTAGCTCCGATTAGCTGCACACACGCTAGTTCTGCCGACTGGCTGACCGACGCACAACAATTGACGCACACCTCTGAGTACCGCGCGCAAAAGGAAAGAAAAACTTTGTGAAGTGCTTTTTACGACTAAGCAAAGGCAAATACAGACCAGGACGCCGCTGTGATTGTAGAGGATGACCCACTATGCCGAGGTTCAAAAAGTACATCCTCTCTTCCGTACCAGCTTCGCTCGCCCTGTATGTATGACAGATCCGGGAAATGTCTACCGATTTTCATTGACGCACCGTGAATTTCCGCACATTGCGCGCCCTGAGAAACTCCGAGGAATTCTAACGGCAGCTCGGAGATCCAGTCGGATCTCACATGATGCACCTACGCACACAATCGCGGCATCTGCGTACCTCAACTTCCACGGCGTTGCATGCGATGAGGCGCAGGCTACGGATAATTGAACGATCGATACATTCTCCCCAGTGTTTACGGACAGAATGTTTCACGGACCAAGATAAGCGCTGGCATACTTGTCATTTATCAGTTGGTCGATGGTTTAGCAATGGAACACGCGTTTACACTCTCGTCGCTGGCGTTCCTGCACACGGAATGCCGTAGCGTGCCTGATGCTCAGCGCGTTCAAATTATTCACCTGTATGGCCGCAAAAACAGCTCGAAGATATAACACTCAAAACGCTGGAAGGCGACCCGTCAGCGGCCGTTACATGCTTCCATTGGTGAATAAGTTCCACAAAACTGTGAGTGTGTACGACGCCAGA